TAATGGTTGCCACAGACAACAAAAATGATAAAAAATGCATCGTCCTCAAAGCTGAAAAGCAGTCGGTCATTATTTCATTCGAACAACATGAAGAATGGCTTGAGTTGTTAACGACCGTTTCTTAACCCATTTTAAGTTCATAGTTCTGTTTTTCAAAAACAGAATTCGGTCTTTTTCTAAAAATAAAGAAAACACGGAAAACTATTTAACCTAATTATCGACTTCGATGTTAAGCCTTTGTAACAAGTGCTTGGAGTATGAGACCTTCTTTAACTGATTGATATTCGGAAAGACTCTCTTCTCTATAAAGCACTTCCTTTGCTCTTCATCCATCACTTCGACGAGTGTTTGTATCACGTAGTTCGCGTATGGGTCTTTCATAAGCTTCAGAAGCATCTCGTTGTCCTTTTTCCCACAAATTTCATTCACAAACCCGTCACGTTGCGTCGGTGTGCAGCAATGCATACACTTCTCAACGACATTACTCGAATACTTCTTCGTCGAAAATTCGCAGAACTTCCCCTTCATTTCATTGATCACCATGTTCTGCTGAACTCGGGTGCCCTTTTCTAATAAATGTTGGATAACATAATTACCATATTGGTTCATAGCTAAGTCCCATATGTTATTCTCAAGTTCTTTATTAAGAGTCCGGTGGATGACGTCTTCCCTTCTCTCGACGAGTTTCTGCACTACACGACATCCATACGCATGCTTACCAAATGAAACAACATGTCCAGTTATCTCTTCCGATATCATCGAGGAGTATATACTTGGCATGAACTCGATGAACCGCTGTATCACATGATTCCCATTTTGATCCTCCACAAAGGCGACGATGTGCCCTTTGATCTCGTCCGCTAATATCCCCATCTGTTTTGCGTCGATGAACTCAACTGCCTTTTGAATCACTCGACATCCGTATGTGTGCGTCGAAAGCATGACAACTCGACTTTTAACGACATCCATAAACACATCGCGGATCTCTTTCGTCCCAAATTCAAACAACTTTTGGATGACATAATTCCCAAATAAGTCCAGCATGAGCTCGTAGATATCATTTGATATGAAATTGAAGATCTCTTCGACTTCCGCTTTGCTCGCAGTGTCCAGAAATTGTTGTATTCTCCGACTGCCCTGCTGGTCCTTACACAGATCAGTCACTGTGTGTGTTTTGGTTGAAAAGAAAGAAGGCTGTTTTAAACTTTTCGAGAACTTCATGTTGTGTGACGGCTTCTTATATGCCGGTGGTGTTGAGATGAGTGTTTGTACTCGTGGCGATGCTCTCAAATTCCCAACAGACTCTTCGAGACTAGGAATGGATGTTGGCAATGCTTTCTGTGAAAATGAGTTTTTCCCCGGCTTGAACGCCTTAGCAGACGTCTTGAAATTGGGCGACTCATAATGGTCGCCCAAGAATTGTGAGAGAAAAGAGTTGTTCGCCGACTCCGGAGTCATGAACGGGGATATAAAGTTCGACTGCATTGGGACTGAAAATGCTCTTGAAAGCTCCGAGGGGTCGTTCTCAGGGTTCGTGAACGTAAATTGCGCAGGATGGCTTTCGTCATCCGTTTGGTTTGGAAGATACAGCGAAGAGTCCAACCCATCCTTTCCAAAATCATCTTCGTCGTCCAAGAGTCTTGACAGTAACGATTGAGTCGACTGCTCCATTAGCAAGAAGTGGTCTTTTTCAGTTTTTTCCTTAGGCAAAAAGTCGTGGAATACTAGAAAAATAGTTATTTTATTATTGTTTTTTAGTTCTTTACAAACGAAAGCATCACTTTATTTCTTGTACGATTGATAGGATAAATCGAACTACCATATACTTCGGTCAATAATAAAGTAGTTTCATTGGTACAAAATATCGGGATTAATAGAATTTAGTGTGCAAGTTTGGTTTTTGTTTGTTTGTCGCCAACTAGAAGTACACTTATTTTTGTAAATATTATACTTTAATTAATACATTATTAATTTTGAACTGGTTTGAGGAGATTACTTTGATTTCTGGGACACATCAATTCTTTGTAACACTCAAAGACTAGAATTATTTTCATGTGATTACTTCTAAGGCATTTGTGGCTTATCTTGACATGCTTTGTTTGTTGTTATTATAACGTTTATTTACTTAATTATTTATAGATAATTATTTAAATAGTTTTATTATTAAAACAATTAAAAAATAATTATTAGGTATTATTAACTGTATCACTTGTTTTTATGTAATACTAGTTTGGACAATATCTATTGTTATTGTTAATTGTATTATATGTTATAATACATGCTTTTTATTTGGTAAATAATACTTATCTGCAACTACTTAATTAGTTTGGGATTAATTTGAGTGACGTTATTTATATTAATAACTTTCCATTCAACCAAAAAAAGAAAAATAATTAGTGGTGTTTGTTTTCTTTTTTAATGAACAATTAATTAAAATTATTTTATTATTGTTATATTATAATTGATTTAGTGTTTTATTATACATTTCAAACCTTTGCAATTATTTTAGAAAAATAATATGAAAATCTTTAAAATAGTTTATCATTTCTTCAATTATTGATTCTTATAAAAAACAACATCTGAAAAAGATCTCTGAAAATTTTTGTTATTTAAGTTTTTATTATAATTTTTCAAAATTTCTGCCAATTAATTAAAACCGATAGTATAAGTTGTATAAGTATCTTATCATACAATTTGGGCTTTTTATGGCCTTAATGTTTGTTTTCAATTTTTATAGTTTTGTAATGGGTGACTTATCAAAATTAATAAAATTAAACAACTTTTTATAAAACTTATTAAAAAATCGATGCAGTGAGAAGTATCATTTATTTACACCAAAACCATATAACCACTCATAACATTGAAAAAAAATCCAAAAATTGAAAGTATAGACAATTCTATTGAATAGAAAAAGACCGAAAAGAAAAATAGAAAAAATACCATGAATAGATCATAAAATCAATGTTTGCTTTGTGACCCAGGGAACTTCTGAGCACTACTTTTCATTTTACGAGCAGCAGAACTTGCCTTTTTTAACATCGAGTCAACCTCCTTTTTGAATTTCACAGCAGCTTTATCAAGGTTCTTTATACCTTCCTCACCTTCCTTGATATAATTTTGTAATAGAGGATTCGACTCGGTGCTTGGAGACTCTAACTCAAACTCAGCTTCTTCAACT